CACACGCAGTTTCTGTAAAGCGTTTTTTTCCTACGTTGCCTAGCTGAGATAGCGTGTAGGCTCTCTGAATAGCTTTTGTGTTTCAGTCAACATATTGGAGACAAAATTTTAATAAATATTTTTGCTCTGTATTTCCCGCCTTGAAGACGATGGGATCGTTCTTTCCTTCAGGAATCACTAGTAAAGTAGTATCTTTTTACCGGCCTGGAGGTACACCAGTATGTGAACATAATGCCACACGACGCTAAAATGACGACGCGTTTGAGGTGCTTATTACAATTCCTATCTGTACCGGCGGGTTCCTTTCCACCAAGGCTTGCAAAACATTGCACAAATCTTCGTACTGTGAAGTCTCATCGCAAAACGTTGCATTGCATTAAGATACCCTGTTCTCACGCTGCGGCGAATAGCGACGCCGTGCGTGGAATTCCTTCCCTTGATGCAAAATGAAGGCTAAGGCCCTAATCAGGCAATTAGCCAATCTGCCATAGTGTGTTAGCCCTTTATGTGATGTGCGGTTAAACTGGTTTCCAGCGGTTCAAGCTGTTGTTGCCATTATGGCACATACATTAACAAACTGTGTCAAGGAAGTTAATGGACTTCAGCCATACGCCTGAGGGCCAAAGCTACTGCATTGAAGACTCGAGAATTTCAATCAAATAAGCTTTAATAGTCACGTCATGTCCTCATGGACGCATTCCATGAGCCCGTCTAGATCTTCACAGTCCGTATAAGTGCAGCTCGGATTGTAAGGTCTAACTTCATCGATATGTAGGCACTAACGCATGCGCTTCCTCAAAGGTAGGCAGTTTTCACCCTCTCGTCGTAATTGTCGATTGAACTACACTGGTCGTGCAGTGTAATGCCAATGTTGTACCATATGATGGTTTAAGTCAATGAATATCTAGAGCTTCTTCATAAGACCCTGTTGTTTGTAACGTATGAGCCGAGAAAACACAAAAATGCATTATATGAATTATATCTGTAGACGCCCCGTTTTTGCAATATATATTACATGAGATACCTGAAAAACTTCAACCGGCTCATCCCCGAAAGGCTAAACTAATTTCAACTCTGCCAGAACGTTAGCTCGTGTACTTTTCTGTTGCATTTGAATACCTGACGCAGGCAAGTTATCGCACATTTTTCACTGATCAACGAAATGAACATGACGACCCTCAACTCGATTTCATCTTCAATGCAATCTTCGGTACCCGGCTAAATCATGGCGGAAAGGTGACAGATTTTCTTGAATTAAAGTAGAAGATGATTGGACAAGTGACTACTATGACAGTACCCTCATTATCTGAAGATAATCTTATAACTATATATATATATATATATATATATATATATATAATATAATAAAAATCGTATATAAGCTTAGCGTAGCCCAGCAGACAAAGGAAGCAACTGCGGATATTCGTGTAACGTACAAAGGCGACTGTCAACATGCTGCAATGGATGCCCGCTACAAAATGAATTTACTAGTTCGTAACATCTCGCTACGTGTTTTCTAACAGGTTATCAGCTGAAATTGACGCCGCTGCAAATCAAGCCATTGAAGGCATACGTCCTCTGTGGATACATGGGAGACAATCTTTTGATGCTCATCGAAGCTAACGAATACGTCAAGGAATACGGACTACTGCTACACCATATCATACGGCCCAAGTAGTGTTGGCTAGCTGGAATACTATCACTAACCAGCTGGATCTATTACTAGGTGGTATATTCTTATTCAAAAAAACAACTCTGCATGTTAAAGTAAACAACTTATATATATTGGCCATCCCTTAACGTACCGTTTCGGAGGAAGAGCCGATGCAACGGTCTGCGCCAGCGTTGATGTCAAGCTTTCCATCAATTTGGGCTTGGTGTCCACCTAAAGCATGGGTCAGTCATGGTAGCAGGATGGGTGAAGAAAGACCTAGTGTTTTTACCGCTCGATCACTAAAAGTCTGAACGTGTCAGCTTTGACAATTTTAGGCTTTTTGCCTCTATTTGCATCAACCTGATATCACTGCTAGTGTATGATAATATAATTTAAAGGGATAGAGTTGTATTATATTTGTTTATGTATTCGTACATTATATATAAATATTATATTATCATATTGAAGCAGTGAAATAAAATTCCATCACAGATCCAACGTCAGCTGTCTATAACAGCTCGGTAAGCCGGATGCACTTGTGATACAGAGTACATAGTAAGAACCGCCATAAATACTTCCTGTTAAGTATTGTGTAAACGGTGCTTGGAAGGGCTGTGCCCAGGTACTCCGTGCATACATCCTCAAGGTATAAAAAAGCAGACTTACTGAATATGTCTCTGTGATAGCTTAGCGCGTAACGTACGTACCTGCTAATGTTAGGGATACGTGATGACCTAGGTTAGAATCCGGGCGCAGATACCTCGTGGTGCTGGGAGCACGTTGCCTGATGGGATGCCTAAGAGTGTTGCCGGACAAAACATTTATGCAGCTTACTGAATATAATCAAAATAGCAAAACGATTAGGTTAATATGCTGCGACGTATCAATAAATCAGTTTAGCTCGTGTCCAGCTTCTTCTAGAGCCACAGAGCACGACCAAAGTCATTTTGCAGGGATTCGAAAGAGTAACAATACCCTGAGCGGAAATTGAATTCATTAAGGGCTAATTAATTATTAACGGATTAATTAAATGTTTGTGCTGAATCACTCAAACCAAATTAGATCGAGATGCTCAAATCCAGTTTTGCCCTCGAAGCTTTTGAATCTTGCCCCATAGGTTCACTTGATAAATTCTTCCTGCTTTCGATTTTAGACGTTTGAGCTTGCTTTTGGAAACCTATTAAAAAGCTAAAACAAAAAATAATAGTTATTATGGACGAAAAGTTTTGCATTATTCTATATAATACATAACGTTTTAGTAAATTTATTATTGATCTTTATCGATGGCGATGTCAGCATTATAGGAAGTCTCGCTCGATAGATACGCTGTATACGCTGTTAACAGGGTTAGAGGTTTATCAGTGTCGTTATCAATACAGCATCTGCTTTATTCTCAAGTAGGTTGCATTCAAACCTAACTTTTCTCCATCACAACAGGCCAATGCCCTAATTAAGCCATGTATGACAAGCAGGAATTCCGTTTTTCTCTATCCTGGTGGCACTTACTATTCAAGTATGGCTGCCAAAATATAACCGCATTGCCTAGCCACATTAATAGCTTACAGCCAGCATGAAATCAATGTTATTAATCGAACTTTAGTGGACTCAGTGTGATTTCGAATAATAACGTTAGTTCATTTTAACTCAGATTCTTTCGTGGCTGCAAAAAATTAGAGAGCATACAAAAATTTACTGCTTTAAGAAACATTTTCTGTCGTGTTTCAGACATTCTAAGAGATGTGGATAAAGACTCACTCCCGGAACGAGCTTACAGAGACAGATCAACCGCTGTATTTGAAACCCGCTAGGTATATCAAAGTACCTGAGTTTCCTACTAAACTAGTTGTTCCATGAAAATCCAGTCAGGTAGCATGCACAATCATTGGCCTGAGCAAGTCTCCAAGTAGACTGGTGCCTGTTTTCATATAATTCTATGCCCTCTTGTTTTTTAATGAAAAAACATAAAATGTGACTTTTATTTTTCCTAGCCGAAGTTGAAGCAATAAAAATGTTTAATAATTTTTCGTCGAAATTTTCAAGGCTGTTATGCCGCGTCAGCCGTATGTTAGCGTAAAATTGGATATACCTACTTGGAATCTTGTCTTAACCCGTCGCAGCATTCTCGAGTGATTCCGTTTTTGTCAATCTTTAATGCGTCTTCCATAATTGATTTCCTTCTTATAATTACATGCAGCCTCTTACCATGTGGGACAAATACAGATCGACGCAATCTTGTACCTGCTCGTTTTTAAGTTCCAATTTGTAAAAGCGTTAATCTAAAGCCGGGGCTGCTCTTTTTCTATTGTTTTCGTCAGCATATCAATCACAGTCAAATGTAGCAGAAAAATGAGTAACTGCCTTACATTGGTATACAGGTGTACTCTCGTGTAAACTAATACTTTTGTTCGACATATTGGAAAACGGCGCGGGAAAGTTCGAGTTATGTTAAACTAATATACATTCCATATTCTTCACGTTTCTTGTATTTTTCTAGCGGGTATCTCTTCTGAAATATTCACAGCTCAACGAAGCGCTAGCAAAAATCAATTGTCGCTTACAGCGATTGATACTCTTAATGTGGATAAAAATACATACAATCAACCATGGCGTTATGCATTTATCAGCTGCAATAGTCGAGGAAAAAATTGAGCAAGTAAACCTTGACCATGGCTGACAGCGGCCCCAAACTCCACGTCGTAAGGATGACGACTGCAAGCATGGTTGAGTCTCCCATTAACCGACTTCTACTGATATGGCTTAACGTTGTCTTATATTATCCCTATTACAAGTTCAGTTTGCGTTTGTTGGGTCGGTGTAACAATTAGTACAGCATACAAGTTACGTCAGTCCAATCGTTTGGTAATTGACCCGCATAGACTGAAAAGTCCGCATTGCTAAAAAATAGACGAAAACGAGGTGTACGACGCAAGCAGACAATCGATATCATAAATCTAAGATTGCGTAAAGTTAGCGGTGCAGTAAACAGTTTTATTTGGCAGATGGCTTATGGGTCCATTGTGTCGCCTCCCTTGATACCTCTCAAGGCTCTGCCTCCGGGTATGACAGCAGAGAATACAAAGTGTTTATAAAGTTATTCTGATAAATCAATTTGTTTGACTCGACTTCGACGATAAAATCAGCTATTGACCAATAGCAGATAGCTTGTTGGTTTCTTGATGACACTTATCTATTAAGTAATAGCTTCATTTTTGTGGCGACAGATAAGAAGAATGCTTATTTCAGAAAGTCCGTTACTTCTATATAGTCTAACTCAAATGAGTGTTTTAAGAATACATTAGGTGACCTGTGACTACCCAAAATCCAAAGCATGCGACGAACAGCCAAATGAAGATTGAAAATAGTTTTTTGTTTTTCTCTCGAACATAAAAAGCATATGCCTAAATTTACATCGTCCCACTGAAAACATGCTAACAGCGTATATAGCTAGTCTAACAAACCGCTAAATCTTTACGAATGTAGCCCGTCAGAAAAGGAAGACAACTACAAATTTAATTTCCACCCATAGATAGCTAGTTATACACAGTATACACTAGCTTTTCATTTTTGATTCTCTCTATACACAGTTCAACCATCCATATAAAGATTTTTCACATATCGATATGTACAGCGATAGTCATGTTATAACTAGCTCTTGGCAAGTGTGCTTTCTTCTACATGTACAAAAAGTGCAACGAGTGGATTTGAAAGCTTGTTATGTTCTCGTCATCAGCCTCGTTACCATAACCACCATTACTATTCAAATCGTTATCATCATTTTCTCCTCTTTTCTACCTTGTTCGTTGCATCTATTTGTTCCATCCACCGCCTCCGTAGCTGCCTCCGTAGCCACCTCCGTGTCCACCTCCGCCACCTCCGCCCTTGATAATGATAATCTTGCCGGCACCGCCGCCGCCGCCCCCTCCACCAGTCCTCGACAAGATTTGACCACCGGAATTCGTCGTGGTAATCTTATGGACAGACTTAATTTCCTGAGTTGGACCCGAGATTGTGTACGTTGCACCTCCACCGCCCGCTGCATGGGCGTGTGAAGCACCTCCTCCAAGCAGACGCGCGAGTCCTACCGCCGACAACGCAGCTCCATCCTCATTGGCTCCGCCTCCACCGCCGTCTCCGAAACCTCCTCCACCTCCATATCCGCCGCCCCCGAAACCTCCACCTCCATGTCCGCCACCGCCTGCTCCAAGGAAACCAGCCGAAGCAACAGCCACGAGGGCAGCGCCCACAATAACAACCAGAGCTTTCATTACTGCCGTTACTGTTATTTTAGCTTGCTAACGGCGTCAGCAGTCCAAGCTAGGCGAGTCGAGAAATTTGCCCGATAAAGCGCAAACGATGAAAAGGAACGACGACCACAACCACTACACAACTTCTGTTGTAAGGCTGCGATGCCCCTGCAACTGCCTTGCCAACTGACCAATGTTATATATATGGGACGGAACGGGCATTCGCACAGCGCATGCAAGGGCCGCGTTTACAGAGCCCCTTTCGCATCAGCGCCACTGTCGGCTTGATAATAATAATCATAGTCCCGGGTAGTAACCGTTAGCCAACTAAGCGAGAGAAAGCGTTTTTGCAGGAATAACGCCTTCTGCATGTGTAGCGCAGTTGCGCGCCATGTACACAAAATATAGAGAACATTCACAAACAAAACGACTCGAAAACATTCAGTGTTAATAATGTAAAATGCGTAAAATTTAACATGTCAGAGACTGCCTAGCTATGTTGGTTAGAAATCGATTAGAGGCCGAAAATAGATTCGATTCTTAGAAGGTAAGCAAATCTGCACTTCTTCATATATTTACAAATGACTTTCACTCCACACAGATTGCGTGGTATATATAAAAAAAATACGTGTTAAAAATACTGTTACATCTATCAAGTTATAAGCTTAGGCGGTCGAGAATAGCCTACTCAACCTACTCAGACAATATTAATTGTTCAAAGGTATTTATTTGTACGTTATCGCTCCCTTTCTTTTTCGATTTTGGCCAACGTTAGCCGTCGTCACAGGCTTAACTTACTTCATTCAAAATATTATTGTTCTCTCTTTTTAACGGCCGCTTCCCACAGAAGAACATTACAAATGATAGGACCACAATAAAGCCGATTCATCAACGCGTGGATATATCAAATCTGTTAGCTACATTATGTAAGTCTATATGCGATCTGCTTCGCGTGGCGCCAATTTATATACATTTGATTTTATTGTTAATATTTCTTTAATTTAAATTTGCTATTTAAATATTCGTCTTGTTCGCGCGCGGCACTGAAATGCACGGAACAAGATTTTACTCTAATGTTTCAATATTAGAAACACCTCCATCTCCACAAAATTTACTGGAAGTTATATTTAGATAATATTAATAGACGGGAAAGCTAAACTGATTGGACAATTAGAATGAAATATTTCAAGAAACGATCTATATAGTTTCTAATCTGAGGAATGGCAGACTGTTAGGGTATATTCAAGTGTGCCGACGAATCCTAATTCACATGTATCCCAGCTACACTTGAGTGTGTACCCTTTTTCCACTTAATAGCAGCACAGATAGCTTCAAACCTTTTTCAATACACGATCTGCAGACCAAAGTAGATAATCGGATGTATCTGTTATTTGAAGGTGTTACTTAGTTCACAAATAATTATCATTGAATTGAGTACACTGTCAAGTAACACAATCGCTTGTCCTTCAGACCTGTAAATGATAGTGAGGTTGTTGCAGCGCAGTTACGTAGGTTGACAAAATGGATTCATTCTGTAGAACGACAAATCCGCTTAAGCGAGGGAATAAGAACAGCAATGCAAGCTACGTATTAATTCAGCCATGGGATGCTATTCGAACGGACGAATGTTCCAAGGCCGATTCTCACAAAAATTAGCCGAACAGTGTGGGAAGAATATATAATATAGAACAAAAGACTCAAAGTCGTCCACTAAAACAGGCAAAATTCAAGGTTGCAATCTTTGCGAAGGCCGCGCCCGTGCGAGGCTCAGCCAAGAGTGAATATCGCATACTGTACTCGTTACCTATCCCGCGACGGGATTAAAATTTTAAGCTGAAGCTAAATCGCATTCGAACGTGCCACCAGCGAGTCTAAGAGAATATATTAGCTCTGTTTTTGTAAGACTCGTGTAATGGTTATTATTTCTTAATATAATTGTCTTTCCTTTATTCTTTCTTAGAAAAATACTGAGAGTGGCGCCGGTCCAGAGTTTTTCTTTGCTTCCTACTTTAAATGTTAGTTGAACTTGAATAGTACCTATTAAGCTCGTAGTTCTTTATCTTATTGAAACGTCGACGGACGAAAGTTGCTAACGGTGACTCAAATGCAGAGCTCGCTCCTTATGCGGGAAAAGATCCCCATGTGACAGCTTTAGTTCAAAATTCATTTGATTACTATTATTGCAGGGCAAATTTACAACGATTTATAAAGCTTTTCGACCTCTCGAATACCGGCGGTTCAAGTGTGTCTTCGAAATGAAAAGTTACTTTGAACGTCCTCAGGTTTACATTTTTGACTACATTGATTTTCTGCGGAGTTTCCCCTAGCCTCGAAAGCTTCTCCAATGCAGCAGCTTTTCACAATAGTCCGACTAGCTTTCGCACCATACGATTGCTGTTACTACAAATTTAGGCACACGTTGCGTTAGGCTGCGACTAATATTGACCTACTTACGTCAAAATATGGCGCCGATTCAGAGGCGCGCATGTACTGTTCGTCTTTAGGGCGTTGTTAAAGGTGCAATTGATAAATAACTTTCAAGTCTTACCATTCTCGACCGCATGTACAGTTAAGCCAAGCCGACTGACAGGTTCGTTTGTGAAACTGGCAAGTTCAGTCTGTAGCGTTTCCGAGAAAACAGAATACGTTGTTGATAAACTAGTTCGTGCCCGTTAGCGCTATTGGTTATTGTCCAGTACCAGCTGCGGTTCCCCTGAGCACGCAACAGTCGAGGGGCAATCGAACGACAGGTGGTAAGCAAACACTCTTGTAGGACATTCAAATATTCAACTTGTATGGTGTATACTGAAATGAAGGCAAAAATGAGCTTGGTGATAAAAAGATCATCGTGGCGACGCTGTTATAGGCAACAGCAGTGTTCTATGTTCAGCTTCGTCTTGAATTTGATTTATTTACGTGTTTATCATCGACGTTTGACATACAAATACCTGACGTCCGACGCATTGCGACTTTTCCATCGTTGATCATATAACGGCAGCACTTATATAACCAGCAAATGAATAAGAGCTTCACACTGTCCTTTTTACTGTTACTCCTACCCCAATATTTATCTAATAATTATACAATTACGGCAAAGCATCTACTACAGCTATAACATCAGCCACAACTGGGATTAGAACAAAACACGGGGTCTATGTTGACTGAAATTAATAACAGTCTTCCTTTTCTCTAGACAACCATCTGATTCTTTGTTGTTGGACGCTAGAAATAATTTTATAAAAGAAATATATTAGTAGCAACTATGACAACATGTCCTTCATTAGCGTTGTCCGTGCCGAAGTTCACATTTAGGGCTGAACCGGTCCATGTACGAATGCGTAGCAAACGGGCTTTTTGTCACTGCTACATAATAGAGCGTGGGTCCCCCCCCTCATGGCAATATTTTCTATGGTTAAAGGACCGCAATGGCCACGGCCATGATTGCTGTTGCTGCAGCTGTTTTCGGCACTCCTCATTTTACCAATGTGTCTATTAAATTGCCTCATAAAGATCAACGACAGCAGCAGCGATGACCTGATCCTCCTTTCGCAAAACGTAGCCAACAACAGCCACCGGCTGATGCTAACATGGTGCTGCTATGGCCAGCAGCAAGCAAATTTGAGCCGTTGAACCATCATCGTAGGGCGGAAAGAGCAGGACTGCTTAACACAGTCATGGCATTAGGCTACAACAACAATCGCCAGCGATGTCGATGATACGGACGACCACGACGACGATGGTGATGATGATGACAATGTGTCCTGGCAGCACCGATTGTGTCGGCCGGCGTTGTTTCACTTGCTTTGTCGGCATTGTCGTCGTCTAACGTTCATGGAAAATTGGTTTTCATTTTCTCTCAACCATGCGGCTATATTTATTAATATATAATACGACTTTGAGGGAACATCAACAGCATCGTCAGCTGATGCAGCAGAAACTACATCAAATGCATCGTCGACAGCTGCACGATCGACTAAAGGTACTACACCATCATTTACGGTGATCGGTTTCTTGCTGCTTATTGAATGTCTGCCTACTGGTCCATTTCGTTCGAGTCGAAGTCGACATCGACATTGGTATTCTTCGGGGCGACACGACTGCGGGGGCTCGCGACGGTCTTTGTCGGGATTCGCTGCCAGATTCCCCCCAGTCAGCCCCATGTTTCTGCGGTGATAAGCGTGCACTTGCATTTGAGCGAGCCGACATTACTGTGTGCGTATTCGATAAAGTGGCGCCTCTGTACAAATAACTAAAACATTTGATACAGATCACCTGTCGTCGTATAAAAGCCACGGTTCAGCGCAAAGGGACACGACAGTAATCAGTTAGCTGGCCTAGTCGATTAATAGCTCTACAAAAAGCCTTCGAAAACAGCGTTTGCCCCAGGGGTTAATAATTCCTACATCACAATTATGAACATAATTATATATTATATAATAAGCGAACTGTTATCCACATTATAATCGTTATCGTAACGTCAAACCAAGCAACGACAATGGAAAGAAAAGTATAAAGGATGAATTGTTATAATGCCAATAACTAAACAATCATAAAAGCGGATTTTCTAGAATAGATTTACAGACATCTAACAAACAAGCCGCAACACATAGTTATTCGAAACGTTATGTGAATGCTGTCAATATCAATCGGTCTGTAACAATCTATATGGACTAACTGTATTAACTGAAGTTACAATCGAAGGATGATAACGATTGAATAGCGGGGATGCAGGTGCATGCTGGGGGCAATAGATTGCCGTTATTATGTTAACTAGCATAGGGTCACTTGACATGCCACGTGGATTCTGCACCGGTTGCGAAGATACATATATATCTGTATTTGTGTCAATGTATATGCAACTTGCTACATAGGTTCCACGTTTCTGCTATTTTATGTTAATGCCAATGGTACAATAATTTGAAGCGGTTTTATAATACTTTTCTGTCTCTCATGTCCGCGGATCGAAATGTGCCATCTGAGGGACTCACAATAAAGTGCCTAACGAAAGGGCAAAGGTTTACCAGGGATTCGGTTGTACAAAAATCGATATTATCGCTGCTATTCAAAAAGCGAAAGTCCCGCATTTGAATTGTTTTAGTGCGCCTGGCGTGTTGTCACGTTTTGCGAATTGTAAGCTGATGTAAAACTAGCAATTATGTTCAACGCAGTGGTATCAAAAATTAAATTGTTCGTTCAACCTAGGGTCACCTCTTTTTACGACCGCTCTTGTGGACTATTTGAAAACATGCACCGATTCACCTAGTTTTTCATTGTTTATTATTACTATTAAAAAGTATGGATAAGATATTGTTTCCTACTAACGGTTTTTATGTATCCACTTTTTTGTGCGTAGACAGGATCAAACTGAACGTTTACTACTCACATTAAAAGTAGTTTAAACGATTTGCTAGCTCAGACTTCCCATTATCCTATTAAGTTATCGAAAACACATGAACCGTTTTTGAGCTAAAATTGAAGCAACTTTTTTCTATTTAAAATAATATTACTAAGCTAAATATGCGCTATTTTAGTCAATAACATTCTGCTATCTTTCTGGTCGCGCCATAATCCTAATACTGCAGAACTTCTCTGTCCGAAAAACTGTGGCTAATAATTTTTGTGTTATGTTAGGAAACGTAATCATCATCATTAAAAGAGTTCTGCAAAGACCGAAACAGATAATGATGTGATGGTTCGAGATCCGGCCACTGCATTAAGATTTCTCATGGAAGTTCTCTCAGTTCGTACCTAATAGTTAAATATGTATGCGGCCTAGCATTATCGTGGTGCAAAACGATGCCTTTTCTATATATTAGGTCTGCTTGATTCTCTCAATGCCTTGTTATCATTTTGTTATTTATTGAAGTACAGATTCGAATCAGTTGCTTGGCCGGGCCGCGGCAATTCGTAATAAACGGTTATCTCCAACCCCACC